CAGCCTTCCATCAGTCCTCACCTATGTCATCAAGAATAAAATAGGGGGGGCTGGAGAGATGGCTCAGAGATTAAGAGCACTGGCTGTTCTTCCAGATGTCCTGAGTTCAATTCCCAGCAACCACATGGTGGCTCACAACCATCTGTAATGAGATCTGGTGCCCTCTTCTGGCATGCAAGAATGCAGGCAGAACACTGTATGCATAATAAATAAATATTTAAAAAAAAAAGAATAAAATAGATCCCCCCACCCCCAAAAAAGACAAGAACATGATGATAGGCCAAGAACAGAAAGATTACAACACTTGCCCATCCGTCTGAGAATTCATTCTGTTTGGGTTTCTCCATCTTCCAAGATCCTGATGTGAAACTGAAAACCCTTGTTAAAATAAAAACTCAGCATTTTCACAGAATTCTTTTGCTCTAATAAACCTTTTATGTTTCCCTTCTGTGATGCTGGGGTAGAATGTAGGGCTTCGTGCACACTAGCCAAGCACTCTACCAGTAAGCTACGTCTGCCTCATTTAAAAAAACAAAACAGCAAAGAGTTTACTGAAATCAGTGAACTTTTTAGTGCATAAGATTGTCCATCTACAAGTAAGTCAGAGCTGGGGATAGCTCACTTGGTAGAGTGCTTGCCCAGCATGCACGAAGCCACGAGTTCAAACCTCAGCACTATATAAATAAATTAGACCTGGCATAGGTCTGTAATCCCAGAAAGAAGAAACAGAAACCCAAGGCCACCCTTGACTACATACTAAGTTATAAACCAGCTGGCTATACATGAGACTGTCAGAAACAGTAAAATGAACATTTTAAGAGCATACATTTGGGTGTAAAGGTATAACTCAGCAGTAGAAAACCAGACAATATAAATTTCTCTTGTAATTCATATTTTAAAAAATTTGTCTCATAGATAGGAGAGATGGCACAGCAGCTAAGAATAGGTACCACTCTTAGGCAGGGCACAATGGTGCCTGCCTTTAATCTTAGCAGAGGCAGGTGGCTCTCTTGAGTTTCAGGGCCTGGTCTACATAGTGAGTTCCAGACCAACCAGGGCTACATAGAGACCATCCTGTAAGGATGGGGGTGGGTGGGTGTTAAATAATTTATGCTTTTATAAAACGAAGCCCAGCCCTTACTAAGTCTTTGAAAATTTATCATGAGTTTCTGTTATTTTTATTTTGAGACAATCTCATTATGCAGGCCATGTAGGCCTTGCACTTTCTGTATGCCTGCTTCAGTCTCAAGTGCTAGAATGACAGACACACAACATCACACCTGGCTTTAGAAGACATCCCTGATGCTTTAAAAACTTAAGTCTATAGAAAGAAGTTTCTTTAAAGTCACACTTCTTGTTCACAGGTACACATACATCTGGAAGTAAGTAAAGAACAAAAAAAAAAAAAAAGGAAACAGGCTCATCTGTAAGTACATTTAATGGGATTCTAAATTTAAGTATGTCCTTGTACTTGTTTGTTAAATTCTAAAATCTCTCCAATTTTCAAATTTCCCCTTTAACTAGGGTCTTCTTTAAACTACTTTTTTGCTAAGAAAGAATATTAAATTTTAGAATTCAGACATTATTTCAATTTTCCTTGAAAAGACAACAATCCTGAAAAACTTAATTTTAATCACAACTACAAACAAAAGTAACATCCTATCAATTTATAAATCTATACTTTTTCATTTAAGTAATGGCAAAGAAGAGTGTGTGTGTGTGTGTGTGTGTGTGTGTGTGTGTGTGTGTGGTGTGTGTGTGTGTGTGTGTAGTGTATGGGAGGGCAGGGAATAGAGACCTTGACAACAAAACCCAAAACCAAACATGCCAGCATTTGGGAGGTTAAGGGCAGGATTTAAGGTCATCTTCAGCTACACAAGTCTGAGGCCAGCCTGAAGCTATGTAGGACATCAGTTCAAAAAACAAAATACCCCCAAACAAACAACAACAAAGCACTCTAAGAGGTGGAGACTGAGGGTCCCAGTGCTCACTGTCTAACCAATTTAGAAAGTGTGAGCATGAGGTCTAGGTAGAGACCCTACCTCAAAGAGTGATGGAAAACACAAGATGTCTGCTTCTGGTCTCTTTGCACACGTGTATGTATACATACACATATCTCAGAGGGAAAAATTAAAACAAAACAAAACAAAAATACACCAAGGCCAATGAGATGGCTCAGGGGCTAAAGGCACTTGTGCCAAGACTAGGTTCAGTCCCCAGAACCCACAAGAATGGAATTGACTTCCGTAAGTTGTTCTCTGACCTCAACCAGACAGGTGGTATGTATATCCACACACATATACTCAAGTAAATGTAATTTAAAAAAAAAATTAAAATCGAGTTTTTAAAAGGGAATAAAGAGCGATAAATCAGCTAGGTTACAAAGGAGTCCTAAGTGCTGATCTGAGTGACTTCATTCAGTAGACAGGACATATACTTACTAGACTAGACCAAGAAACCTGGATGAACCAGTAACTCTGAGCCTTCTCATCTTTTCTTCTTCTTTTTAAGATTTATTTTTTATGTGCATTGGTGTTTTGCCTGCATGTATGTCTGTGTTACGGTGTCAGGTGCCCTGGAACTGGAGTTACAGACAGTTGTGAGCTGCCATGTGGGTGCTAGGAATTGAACCAGAGCCCTCTGGAAGAGCAGCCAGTGCTCTAAACCCTGAGCCATCTCTCCATACTCCTTTTCTTCTTTTTTTGGATCTCACTGTATAGCCCTGACTAGCCTAGAACTCAGCCACCTGCTTTCTGCCTCAAGTGCTAAAATTAAAGGTGTGTGTCACCATGATGGGCCAGTTCTCATCTCTTATAAGCAACATCTTCCTTCTTTCTTTTCAAGATTTAAGAGTCATGAAAGCACTCTGAAAGTTTAAAAAAAAAGGGGGGGGGCATGCTATGTGCTTTAAAATTTTTTTCTTCCCTTTGAGTAAAAAAAAAAAGTCATTTCAGAAAACAATACTATTGTTTTGTGGAATAAGGGGTCACTTTTGGTGAGCTCCACTGTCATCTGGAGTTGGTTAGCATTAAAACAAGCTCATGCCCTCACCCTATCTGCATGCACAATATGAACGGGAAAGAGAAGTTTCATTCCAGGTATCTTTACTTAATTTAACTTTCAACAGCCACCCAGACTAGCAGGACAGGTGGTTGATTACAAAGTTAAGTTGGGAGTGGTGTCTCAGATCTGAGTTTGAAGCCAGCCTGGTCTTGATAGAGTTCTATGCTTGCCAAGGCTATACAGTGAGAGCCCCCACCCCAACAAATACATCTGTTTTTAACAAAGGGAAAAAATAAAGCAACCGTGTTCTAGTCCCAACTAATGTACGACACAAGGGACCTCACTTTTATCCAGGTTCCAGTTAAGCTGCCAGTCAGCACCCCTCCACCCCCGAGTTTACCTCACTTTCTTCCTAACATCTGAACTATGTATGTTACACAATTAACTTGAATCTAAGGCCTAAAGTAATTGTCCTGCAGATATAAATTCAGACAGATATGTCAACTCACTAAAATAAAAGCATCCAAAACACAGCGTGCTTAAATTAAAAGGGAGTAAACTACTATAGTAATTGCTTCCAAGTGACAAGAAAAGCTTAATACTGTCTGTGTCCTAATCTTAAAATATCTTGAGTAGATGGCACTCAGTTTTATGTCCCCAAAGTACTCACTATAACCTGAAAGATACCGACTACTTCCCCAAACGGCAGCAAAGCTCACAGAAGAGATGGTAATTTGGAGGTGCGGGTTCAAACAAACTGGAAAAAGCAAGCAGGTAGGTAACTGCTTCTCGGCATTCCCACCCCGCGCGTGGGAGGAGTATGTAGTCCCAAACTACCACCAATAGGAGATCATCTTGTCAGGAGACATAATGGTGGGGCACAAAACCGTTGCCAGATCCAAACCTCTTTGGTATTAAGATACTTCTGATATCGAAACTTGGAATTGACAACTGTAAAAACACTCAAGGACTACATCTTTACCTATTTAGAAGACACTAGGCAAAGGAGCCATTCCTTTATGAGTAACAGGTATTGACTTCGGTCCTCCCTCCCCCCCTCCCATCCCGCCCTCTCAGGCCTCAACAGACAGGACTAAACCACACCCCCTCCACCCAAGGCACATTGCATACAACAGCCCTGGAAGATTAAAGGGGCGCCCACCGAGAGAGAGGAAACCGAAAACTTCTTGGAACCATGTGAATAAACGTCTGATCGCTAGCGGAGCGTAGTCCCTTTACGATTAACGTCACTCGGGAAAAGAGAGGGTTGGCTACAGAAGTATCCGGAACGTGTACGCGGGTGAGGGGCAACGAGAACCACACGGGATTTGGGTCGCGCGGTCAACGCGCACGTCCCCGGAGGAAGGGCATTTGCAGACGCAGGAAAGAGAAAAACTTGGGGTTAACTCGTCCAGAACTCCTGGGTGGGGGAGAAGCAGCGGCCCTTATTTTTCGGGGCTCAGTTGTCAAAACTCACTCTGGCCCCAAGGGGAAAAAGAAAGCGTGGGTCCCGCCCAGGCCGGGCCAGGAGGCGGGGCCTGCCGCGACCCCGAGGACGGAGGCGGGGCCGGGCGGCGGGGCAGAGGCAAAGCCGCTCGCCAAGCCGCTCGGCTGCCCGCAAGCCTCGGGAGGACGGGATCGCGCGTGGCTGTCCCTGGCTCGGCGGCAGGCTCGGGCCGGGCCCAGGGGTGCGGCCTACTGGGGCGCCGATCGCGCGCTGCGCCCGCAGGGCCAGGGCCAGGGCCAGGGCGGAGGTCGGGACGGCCGCGAAGCCGACCCGGGCCCCGAGGGGTGGAGGCGGCCCGCCCGCCCGCCCGCCCGCCCGCGCGCGCCCCCGCCACCCCCCGCGCGCCGCCGAGCACCCCACGCGCGCGGACCCCGAGAGAAGGCCGCGCGTGGCGGTCAGGGGCACGGCTCCGGGCCCGCGGGGGCCCAGCTCCTTCGCCCTCGCCCCAGCCCGTCCCGCCCGCCCCGGGGCCTTGGGACTCCACACTGACCTGACAGGCCGAGACATGTTCGCTGTCGAGGCACGACCGAGTCGAGGAGCCGAGGACCAGGACCCCCCCTCCCCGCGCGCTCGGCGCCCCACCCCCCCGCTCCGGCCGGCGGGGCCGCTGCTACCGAGGCCCGAGCTGCTGGCTTCTCAAGAGTCCGCGGCTGCTGGTGTCGGGCCCCTGGATCTGACGAGCCCCCCGCTCCCCCGTCGCCTCAAAATGGATGAATCAAACCAGCCGAAAATGCGCCAAAGCCGTGGTGCAACCAAACCCGCTAGGGCTTGTGGGCTCCGCCCCAGCACGCCCGCTCATTGGTGACTTCTGCCAGACGCGCCCCAGCCATTAGCCCATTTGAATCATCACGCCCCCAAGGCCCCGCCCCACTCCCGGATAGGCCCCGCCTCCTCCATGGGGTCCTGTTAGTCAAGATGCGCTGAGAGCGCAGGGACGCAAAACAAAAATGGTCGCCGATTGCCCGCCCCCTGGCTTCCACGCCAGAGCTGCAGATTCGGCTTGGGTTAGAGCTTGAGCCCCCCCCCAAAGAACCTGATTTATATAGAGTTCAGTGTGGACCAGGTGTCCGTGAAATCGATTTAATTTCTCCTGGCGTGATTTTTTTTGCAAATCAGCTAATTGCAAGACTCGTGGGATAGGCAGCAGATTCGTCACTAAGGGACTACTTCAGAATTGGAGGGAAATTTCTTAGGTTCAAAATTTTAACCTTAGTCTTAGAAACCCTGTACTCTGGTTCCAGCGTTAACCTCCCAGGGCTCAGCCACGCTGCTGGAGATGAGAGTTTTGCTCACAATCAAGGAATATCTTCGATCCCATTCTTCATTCTCCATTCTGATCTTTGAGAACTATTTCATACTCATTAAAATCCATTTCCGACATTACCATTTCAAAGAGAAAGAGGTGGATGATTAAGAGTGGGAGTGGTGACAAAATACTTGCTTCAGAATTACACCACTTAGGAATTGAATAAGTTCCCCTCTCTACACCTCAGTTTTATGATAAATAGAATAGAAAACAACACTACCTTATTATTAGAATTAAACGAGATGCTATGTTGAAAGGCCTTTATTCTGGGTTTAAGTGCTAGGTTCAGTTTTTAATAGTAGTTGAGGCTGCTTCCAGACTTTCGAATTATAACTAAGGACAACTCAGATTATCTAGTTAAAATACATGAACATTTAACTGAATGCCTAAATCTCTCAGAAGTAGAGCTCAGCAACCCTGTAGGAATAGCTAGAATTTACTTCATGTTATGGTTTGGATTATGTGTCCCCCAAGGCTCCATATGCCATTGTCCCCAGTGGTAGAGTGTTTATGCGGCAGGACATTAGGTAGAAGTTGGGACTTTAGAAGTGTGTTCTTAAAGATATCGGGACCATGGCTTGACCACCCTTCGTCTCTCTGTGTTTCCCTGTGACCACAATATGATCAGTTTTACTTTACTGACATGCTTTTCACCATGACCTATTTATTTATTTATTTATTTATTTATTTATTTATTTATTTATTTATTTTTATGTACATCAGTCTTTTTGCCATGGGTTTTGGATCCCCTGGAACTGGAATTATAGACAGGTGTGAGCTGCCATGTGGTTGACTGGGAATTGAACCTGGGTCCTCTTGAAGAACAGTCAGTGCTCCTAACCACTGACCCATCTCTCCAACCTCCCATGATCTACCTCTTAATAGACCCAAAGCCATAGGACCAAGCAGTCCTCAGTGGAAACACCTGAAACTCTAGCAAAATAAACCTATTCTTGCAAGTTGGTATTTCAAGTCACAGTGATAGAAAACGAACACTTTACTGTTATAAATAGGCTACAATCCTTACCACGGGCAGTATTAATAACTAACTGAATGGTGGGGCTGTTGCTCAGTTGATAGCACTTGCCCTGAGTTCAGTCTTCAGCACCAACTAAAACTGGGCATGGTAGCACACACTTGTAAAGCCGTTAGTCAAGAAGGTAGAGGCAGGAGGACCAAGAGGAGGTAAAAATTCAAGGTCATCTCTGACTACATAGGGAGTGTGAGGACAGTTTGGACTATGAGACCGGAGTCAGCAACACAACCAAGTGAAGATATAGTCCCCAAGCAACAAACCACATCACTGTCTGCTTCCTGAAAGTCTCTGTTGTAAAACTGGGCTTCTCTAAGTGAAGAGAACAGTATAATACAACAAAGAAATATCTTAAAAGTTATCCTTGATCCTTTCCATTCAACATCATTCCCTCTTCACTTAAAAAAAACCAATAATGTGGGGGAAAAAAAATCTCCAACGCGGCCGGGCGGTGATGGCGCACGCCTTTAATCCCAGCACTCGGGAGGCAGAGGCAGGCGGATCTCTGTGAGTTCGAGGCCAGCCTGGGCTACCAAGTGAGTTCCAGGAAAGGCGCAAAACTACACAGAGAAACCCTGTCTCGAAAAACCAAAAAAAAAAAAAAAAAAAAAATCTCCAACGTACCTGGCCTGTGGTGGCTCACGCCTTTAGTCCCAGTACTCAGGAGGCAGAAGCAGGCAGATCTCTGAGTTTAAGGTCAGCCTGGTCTACAGAGTAAGTTCCAGGACAGCCAGGGCTATACAGAGAAATCCCATCTTGAAAAACAAAACAAATCTGTGACATAGAATGTACCATCTTAGCTGTTTTTAAGTGTGCATTCCTGTGGCATTAAGGTTATTCATGTTGTGCAACCATCACCAAAATCCATCCCCAGAATTTCTTTTTTTATTACATTTCTCTCCCCATCCCCCTTCCCCGAGTGTGTGTGTGTGTGTGTGTGTGTGTGTGTGTGTGTGTGTGTGTGTGTTTCACAGCATGAATGTAGAAGCCAGAAGAAAACTCTCAGGATCGGATTCTCTCCTTCCACTTTGTGGGTCTTAGGAATCCAAACAAATGCTTTTACCTGCTGAGGTGGGAGGGTCCCCTGAGCCAGGAGTTTCAAACCAGTCTGAGGATCTGAGGAACGGAGTGAGACCCCCACCTCTACTAAAGAGGGGGGCAGTGGGATGACTTAGGAAGTAGACTCATTGCCAAGCCTGCTAAACATCTCCCGGACCTACATGGTGGAAGATGTTGTCTTCCTGCTACAAATTAACTTTTTAAATCAAGACAGTAGGGGGCCTGGAATGATGGCACAAATTGCCCTTCCAAAAGAGTTAGGTTCCTAGCACCCATACGGAATAGCTCAGGACCACCTGAGCTGCAACTCCCGGGAATCTGATACCCTTTTCTGGTCTCCATGGACACACACACAAACACAAAAATAAAAATAAAAATAAAATTTAAAGACAGTAAGAGGTGGGGTTGGAACTCAATGGTACTGCCTATGCTTACTATACAGGCCTGAGTTTATCTCCAGCAGTCTGCACCTGTACACACGTGCTCATGCACACACACACCCCAAAACAACTAAGGCTGGGCAGTTCTGAGATGGCAGGACTGTTGAGTCTCCCATGACCTGGAAGGGAACCCAACCCGTTTCCATCAAGGGCTGTGCTGTAATACCCAGGACCTTTCCCTTCTCCTCCCCACCCTTCTTCTTTTTAACGAGGCAAACAATTTTATTGACCTTTTTTCAAACTTGGTTCCCAGGCTTCTTCAGCTTAATTTACTACAAAGAATGAATTGTGTATAAACAACAACCGAAAAGAGCTGCAGTGTCCAAGAGACTTGGACTTAAAAATATGAGAGAGCTAGGTTTTGTCAGGTTCATAAACAAAAGAATTTCTGAAAGCAGTCATGACCTGGAAGAGCAGCCCCAGCAGCTTCTCCAGGTTACGTCTGTCTCACAAGCTGCCTCAATTCAGTTTGCCCCATTCTTCCCAGTCTCATCTAAATTCTCCACATGACCTGCAACTTCCTCCTCCTCCTCCTCTCCAGTAGCAACTGATGCTTTGCCATTCCCCTGTTGTTTGGACCATTCTCCTTAAACCGGTCAGGCTGTCTGCACCAAGCTGCTGGAGGACACTGGGAAGCATTTCTCCTGCTGCTGTGTCTCAGCGTGGCCTGTAAAGGTGGAAGGAAGTGTTTTCGGCCTGAATGTTAGGGTGTTAAAATGGATCACTGGTCCTCTTCCATACCAGAGATATTGTTTACACCGAACTTCTTTAAAGAGAGCTGAGGTTCTTCATCATCTGCTGTGGCTGTACTGTGGACTACCTTCTCTCTGTGAACAGTTCCTTTTCCACCAATATGCACTTTTGCCCACAGTTTAGCGGGTTTTTCCTGGGTCATAATAGTTTCTTTCACTTTATTGGAGCAGAAAGGGAGCTATGAGGGGCACTAGGGTTCATGCTCAGGGGGTCTCTGGCAGATCGGCTAAGATTAGGTGCACACACGAAGGGATGCAAGAAGGCAGCTAGAGGGAGGCGGGTTGCCCTTGGAGCTTTTTAAAATGTTTTACAGTGCCTGCCTACTCCGTGCAGGGCATGTCTAGTTCTGTTCTCCTTCTAACTCTAGTTCTGTTTCTTTTCCTTTTCTCCAGTTGAGAGCAGGTCTGTTATTTGGTGCAGGTTAGGTTAAAACTCCGGATCCTCCTGCTTCCTCCTCCCGAGTGCTGGGATTGCAGGCATGTGCCACCACATCTGGTTGTTCTTAAAATTTTCTATCTCCAGTCAGGCGGTGGTGGAGCAAGCCTTTAATCCCCACTCGGGAAGCAGAGCCAGGCAGATCTCTGTGAGTTCAAGGGCCAGCCTGGTCTACAGAGCAAGATCCAAGATAGGCACCAAAACTACATAGAGAAACCCTGTCTCAAAAAACAAAAACAAAAACAAAAATTTTTTTTTCTATCTCCAAGAACCGGGTTTGGTGGCACACATTGTAACCCCAGCCCTGGGAAGTGGAGGCAGAAACATGAGAAGTTCAAGCTCGAGGCTACACAAGTAGTTTGGATCTAGCCTGGGCTAGAGACTCTGTTCCATTAAAACACCCAAATAACTATGTATTTTACTGTATTTTATGTGTATGGGCATTTTGCCTGCGTGTGTGTGTGTGTGTGTGTGTGTGTGTGTGTGTGTGTGTGTGTGTATACACCATGTGTGTGCCAGGTGCCTGGGAGGCCAGAATAGGATACGAGTTACAGACAGTTATGAGCTGTCATGTGGGTACTGGGAACCAAACCTGGGTCTTTTGGAAGAAAAGCCAGTGTTCTTATCACTGAGCCTTTT